TGCTTCCTTATCAATTTACACTATTATGATGCACCACACCAACTAAGAGAACGTGCAAATCATTTACCAACAATTCTAAATTATACTTAAGAAGCTGTCGATTTCTACCAAGATGCCAGAGACGCAGTAACAGATGATGCTTTTTTAGCTAATGTCAACCTGAAGCAACTCCCATGTATCTCAAGTACCCCTGACACCATTTTCCAGCTGAATCTGTTTGTCAAGGCAAACAGTAGCTTTTAGATTGGTAAGAAAATCAGTCTGCTTTAAAAAAAAAATAACAGAAATACATAGTTTCCTATATGCCCCCTCACGTTGAATACCCTTCCTTTCAAACTAACCCCCCAAAGTACACAGTGTGGCCTCACTTTTCACAATTGACATGGAGTTTGTCCTTCATCAGGCTATTTCACATCACACATGAGCTCCAAAATTACCAAGGGCAAAACCTGACAGCTTGCAACTTCAGTAGCCAACAAAAACCAAACATAAAACTTTGATTTTGTAAATGTATTTAAAAATTATATTCATAAAACACTCAACAAACATGCCTATCACTACACTGCAGCCAACTTGGATCAGAGAACTGAACTTGTCTATCAGAACACCTAACTTGCCTCCAATGTCTGGGTTTTTTTTTGGTTTGGTGGTTGGTTTTTCTTTCTAAACCACCACATCTGCAGAATGTCTCGCTCCCATCTCGCAGAGCATCAAAGCTTAATTTGTTCAATGTGCCAAGATGCGGAACGGTCAAATAAAAGATGATATACAACAGAGCAGAATAAGTCTCTTCTTGAGGAGAAAGCAAAGGCAAGCCTCAAAGTCAAACGTACCCTGACGAGGCACATCTGGATGTTAAGCAGAAACTAATGCCAACTCTCATCTCCTTTCTGGAGCGCTAATGTGTTCTGATTTGGGGAATGATGCTGTTAATTCTCTCTCTTACCTTTCCAAGGGATACAGCACTATCGTGTGCCAACCAATCTGTACACTAAATTAAAAGTTATGGAGTCCTGCTTCAGATGCTCCAGAAACACAGTTTGTAGCCAATACAGAAATCACCTCCCCCTCTATTAAACGCATTTTTCCCACGCGGGTGAGGGGTGTCTCATGCCGAGGGCCGGCCCCCGAGCGGCCCCGCACACTTTTTGGGAGAGAAGCGGGGTCTGCCCGCAGCCGGCCCGTCCCGGTGCGCTGTCCTATCGCCCGCTGTCGCGACACCTGCCCCCCCGACGGCTCTACGTGGGAGTGACTTCCCCTGCCGCAGAAACGCGGCCATTGCTGGGGTGGGACACCGCCGCCGTCAAACAGGGTGCTACATGACGTAAGGGATGATGCCAGAAAATTAAAAAAAAAAAAAAAAAAGGCACCTCCCGTACCTGTGCGGCGGGGCCCACGGCCTGCCAGCGCCCAC